CAGCCTTAACAATTCTATGATTCTATGATTTTAACAGAATTGTTTTTGCTGAAATAAGTGATGGGAACCAAGGTACAATTTCTGTCCAGTTCCTCAAGTCTAGTGATATTTAGATCCAGGGAGTGGCTAAAATTCATTTCTAGAAGACTAAACATTTCAAATGTACGTTTTAATTTGCTCTGTGCCTATATAAGGGAGGTGTGGATTCTTCATTGCCTTGTAGCTGTGAAGATTAAGTGCCACAGTACTTTTCAGTGACTTCCTTACCTTGCTTAAACATGCAATTTCTCATATTGATCTTTTTATTTTATATTTGTCATTTCTGAGAAGCCTCAGACTGAAAAAGAAATTACATGGAAATTACAATGGTAAGTCTGTTATTCAAACATATGCAGATTATTTTTCTGGCAAACTTTTTCTTGAGGGGAATGAATCAGGGGGTCGTCGCACACTGGAGAACACATCTGGTGCAGATGCTCACCATGCAGAGTGGCAGCCACATGGCTTTGCACAGAGGTGCACCAAACATCTGGAGCTCTTTGGGCACAGGGGCACAACTTAAACATGCATGATTTTTGTCTGTTCCATGGTCCATACACAATGAGCAGTCACAGTCACCAACCATGGGGACAGAAGTGGCCAGGAGGCTGCAGTATTTTTAAAATGAGTGAAATATAACCAGAGCATGCAGAGCAATTCATTTCAATAAGTGTCAGAGGCAAATGCACTGACAGTTTGTTGGGCCCAGTGAAATCATACACTCCACTGATGAAGTTCCTTGCAAAATGTAGTCCACACAGAAAACTGCCGCTTCTCTTCAGGCTATTCAGGCTATTTAGAGAGGATGTGATGCAATAGGAAAAAAATAAGATAAAGGGAAAAACATGTTAGCAGTGATGGAAGATTCCTTATTGCACTATCACGCTTACTCTGAATACATATGTTCCTGAATGAAGATAATTGAAGCAAAGGTTCTCCTATAAGAATCAAAAATTAACTGCAGGTACCCCCTAATATTTGCAGTTTGAAATAAAATTACATTGCTCCATAACCTTTGAAAAATGGACAATTTTAGAAAATTGGGATAATTGAGAAATTAGAGATTGAGAAAATAGAGATTCTTCCTTTCTGATTGGGCAGCTTTAAGCTATGTCAAAATCATCTCTTGTAAGACCACATAAAATGATTTAGTTCTCAAAGAATAACTGAATTACATAAATAAAACATTACATAAAAGATGTCTCAGTGCAATTTATGTGAAGTGAATTTTACAAGAACTGGTCTATTGTAGAAAAATTTAACTTATCTCTCCCTGATCCCTTTATTCTACCTAAACATAGAAATTTATGTCAGTTCAAAAAAAACTATTACAGTTTCTCATAACTGAAACCATTATTTTTCCTCCATGATCCATCAGGTAAAAACAAGTGCAATAGATAGCTCGAACAGAACCTTGAACATAAAAGGCCTCAAGAATAGAATGTTAAGAAGATAAGTTAAATCCATCTTACTGTGCACTATAACTGGAAATGATAACCTTGCTGTTTAATTTAAATCAAGTCATAGCAGAGAGTTCTGACAATAATCGTTATCTGTCATATAAATAAAATCATTATAAAATGGATTGGACTTGGAAAGATATAGTTTTGCTTGTTGCATTGCCTGTGTGCGAACTGAATTCTATCAAGCTTTATTGCCCTTTGTTGCCTCCTTCCTCCAGGCTTTGCCAGTAATGGCTCCTTTTGACTGCAAATATACAAAGAAGGAAACAACTGAGAACAAGTATTTAATTTTTCATATTACTTTTTATTTCCACTGCTTTGCTGATTCCATTCTGTTGCTGATTTTTCTCTCCTTTGTCAGAAGGGGCAAGCCCAAGGAAAAAGAGATCCAAATTCAGAGCTCAGTTAGAGCTCTGGAATCATTTAACTGTTATAAAAAGGACCAGCTTTAGGAACAAGCAAAAACAAGGAAGCAAGTGCACAGATTTATGCCAGAAAGTAACCGCTGGCTCTTATAACAACATCTGCAGTTTCAGCTGGCCTGTTCATAGTGGCAAAAGGATGTTGCCAGGCACCGGCTTTGTCCCAGCAGCTCTGTGCAAGGGAAAATGAGCATCCTGCCCCACTAACTACCTGATGGCCTGACTGTCCTTACTGAGTGCTGGCTGCACCCCTTTCCTTTCTCCAGTGACTGGCACAACTTTCCCTTGAGGATGCCAAACACGTGGCTTCGACCCAGAGAGGACGGAGCACATGGGGTGAGAGAGGAAGATGTCCCAGCTGCCAGCTGCTGGGGAGATCTTTTGGTCATGGTGCTCCAAGAAGCCTTAGGGAGGACAAAATAAGTCATTTGATGTAGTGCTAAGAATGAGAGTCACAAAGGTGAATCATATTGTCACACAGAGCAGCTACTTGCCCCTTTTTCTGGGCCAGCATGTACCTCAGGCAGGTCTGTACTCCAGTAACCAGCTACTTTAATTCACATACTCTCAACTAAGAGGCTCATCTCTTCTGGCAATCTTCACACTCAGCAGACAGAAGAAAAGTCCACTGGGATGGTTAAAAGAAGAAATGTAATTTTGATACATTGATTCACCATCTAAAGGAGCTTCCCTCTCTCTCTCTCTTTTGACTATAGGAGTAACCAAGCAGACAAGACGTCCATCCTGAGCAGAATGAATAGTCTTTCTGTGCCCTACAAGTTGGTTTAGGAACCTGTTTCCTAGAGGTACAGATACACTTTAATGTTTGTTTCCTAGAGATACAGATCCACTTTCTTCAGAATTATTGGTGTTACTTCTATGGTGGAAGCATTTATGGGTACTGTATGATCCTGTTTGTTTACTTCCACCAAAACATAGGAATTGCACAGAGTAGTTTGGACCACTTATGACAATTTGGAATTGTGATGACTTTGCTATTTCCCTACGGCACACTTCATTTTCCTGGCAACTCATCTTTGGAGAAAACAAACAAGCAAACAAACAAACAAACAAAACCTCTTGAATTGCACACTTCTTTAAGCTTTTGCTTCTTCTATCAACATATTTTTAATTAAATTGAGAAAATTGAACTTTTTCTTTACAGCTTTATGTTTTCAGTTTGAAGAATCATCCTGGAAATAGTGCCTTGACGTGAAGATTAAAAGTTTGACTTAGAGATTTTTCTAAAAAATAACTTAAAAGTGTTCTGTAGAATTTGCTAACCTCATACTGTAATGACGCTGACATAGCTCCTAGCCAGAACAGAGATACATGGATTGATGGAGGCTTAATAATCTTAAATAACACCTTGTGGTTAGCAAGCCACAGTGAGCCAGCAGTGAGCATGAGCCTTAAAACAAACAGTGTTGATATTACAGCATGAGACTTTCCTTGGGAGCAAAGTTCATTCCAAGCCAAATTCCTTCAAAGCCAATTCTCGTCAGGATGGATTTGGCCAAAGTATTTAACCTCTTCTTTCAGAGCAGATAGTGAATGTCTGAAGTTTCATGGACCTTATGACAGCTAATTTATTATTGCTGTATTATACTTTACAAATGTAATTAGTATAGCGAGAGCTACTAAAGCAAAACGTTGCACAGAAAATGAAGGTGAACAGAAATAGAACATGAGAGAATATAAAGACAGTAAGACAAGGATAGTAAGATAGAGTAGAAAATAAATAAGGAATTGAGTTCTGAGCTCTGCACAGGGGGAAAAAAAGAAAGAAAAAGAAAAAGGCGCTCTACCTTCCAAAAGTAGAAAAGAAAAAAAGGAAATTAAAAATTAGAAGCAAGGCACTGAGAAGAATGGATTTGAAGTATAATAAGAAGAAAATCAAATAATAAAAAACAGAATTAATAAAAGTTATCCCAGTTTTAAAGTAATGAATCCTCATTTATTCATACCTTTTTCAGACTGTATGTCTGATAGCACACATATTCAGCCCACACTATGCAAACATGATGCTGCTATTAATTCCTGGATTATGCTAAATAATTAACTGATCATTCTTAAGTAAATAAGTGAAACTTGGTTCTCTAAGCCTCACAACTGAGAATATAAAACTATCCCAATAATTTCCACTTTTAGCAGAACTGATACTTTAATTAACTTGAAGAATCAGAAAAAACTTTTAACATCTGCAACTGTAAAGACAGAAGCAGGAGTACCTAGGTTCTATTCTCCCTTGAAACAAAATAAACTGGATCATCTGTTATTTAAATCTACTGTATTAAAGTTACATCTGGAGAAGATGGAAGCATGAATTGCTAGGTCTTCTGCAAAATACCCAGACCTGCTCCAAGCCTTGTGTTAGAGAAGTCTGGCCACTTGGGCAGCAGAGTGAGAGGATGTTCAGTGCAAGATGTGAGGACAGTCTTGATTTAATTTAAAAATATCTTTTCCCCCAATATTTCTCAACTTGACGAACTATAAAACAAATCCTTACACTCAATTGACAATAACTCATCTGTTTAATAACACAATTTGATATTCAACATTAAGAATCTAATAATTGTATTAATTCTTGAGAGATAGATTCTTTCCAACTACAAAACAAAACAAACCCCTTTTTTACAACAAACACATTTTATTTGCTTACATAGCAAAGGCACATGTACTGCAGGTCTAAGAAAGGCAATTAATTTATTTTTTTTGCCATCAACACAGTCACAGATTTTTTTTTCAGTAAGAAAAATCTCAAAGCACAGATCCTGCTGTGCACAGAACAATCAGATTCCTTCATAAGAACAAACTGACAGGAATTTAAAATCTAAGGAATAAAAAATAATTATTGCAATAAAGAAACTATGAAATTTCACAATGCTTATTGAACAACATTCACTTTGTTTGTTCATTTTTGTGATCTGTTATTTAAAAAATAAATAGAATTTATATTTTAGAAGCCCCACCCCTCTAGCCTTCTGATGCTTAGTCTTGCAAAATACTTACCAGCAGCGAAAATCTGAAAATTCTTTGAATATTGACACAGGCGTGAAAATGTACCGAATTAGTTTCATCTAATAATCGCTTGCTCTACATTTGAGGTTAAATTGATTTCACAGCAACCCTTCCAGTCAGGTTCATTGAAATGATCATCAGTTTTTTCCTCAGCCCTGGCATCAGGGTTCACTTTAAAATAGTATGTGTATCTGCATAGGATGAACCATTCACTTCAAAATAGTCTTCCAGTTGCCACTGCAAGGTTTTAAATGTAGGACGTTCCTTGGCCTCCGCCTTCCAGCACTGCAGCATGATATCGTAGAGCAACTTTGGGCAGTTGTCTGGCTGAGGAAGTCTGTATCCCTTATCCAGCATCTGGATCACCTGGTGTCCTGCCATACCTGCAGGTGTTTTCAAGAGAGGAGGAATTTATCAAAATTCTTAGGGTCTACTTGGTAACACACGAGGTTGCATGTCTCTGTCTCTCGTAGAGATGAGATGGTCAGTTCCCCACCAATGAGGCATACATACATTTAGGCAGAGCTGAGAACAATTCAGTGGAAAATGGCCACGGAAATCACTAGAAGTCTCCAAACCAGCTGTTAAAATGCACCTCCAGCACTTTCCAATCCCCTCATCCTACACTACACCACTTGAGAGGCCCACCAAATAGATTTGTGTCAGGGAGAGATTTTCTTCCACCACCAAGACTTCCTATAACATCATGTCCTATCACCACCAACCACAGAGAAAATAGTTCTTTCTTTTTGCTGCACCCTTTATATGCTAAGACTATTCTTATGTTTTCTTTCAAATTTCTACTATTATTTAAACTAAATTTTAAATCACATAATCTTTTCTTATTTTTCTTAGATCTCTGAATGATATTTCCACTCAACTCTTTGAATCTCATTGCCCAAATTGCAAACGTTGCTCCAGCTGAGACCTTATCGGTCTATATAATAGAAAACTATACTCTGCTTGATACATCCTAACAGACTCTTTGTCGTTTTTGTTTTCTTTTCACAGCCACTGTTTTTTTTTTTAATTAATACATCAATAAATGAGGCTCTCCTAAGACTATAAATGGAAAACACCTGACCTATACTCCAGCATTCAAGCCCCACAGGGTACCAGAGCTTGAACTTTCAACTGTGATTTAGCATAACCTTTTCTCTTAACTGATTGCCGAGATAACTGATTAATTCTGCAAGTAATATCAACAAGCCAATCAAACTTCGCACAGGACACTGTCTACCATAAAGTTACATGTGAGTTGTGCCTTTACAAGGTATAAAGCTGAATCTACTACCAGAAGCACGGAGAACCATAGAATTGTATATAATATGTATTTCAAAAACTTACCTACATATCTATTTATGTGGGGTGTGGATAAGTGTAAGTGCTGAGGATTTTTGACTACAGTTTATTTCTTCCAAATGATTTCACCAGAGGTGAGGGTGGGAATCAAAAAAGAAAAATTCTCTTTTTTCCTTTTATATGAAATGATGTCAAATTGGGACCCTGTGAAATGTAGTTTATGGTTAATGTACCAGCCTTCAGGGCTGTATGGATGCAGCATAATTTCTTTGTGTCAGTCCTTCCCTTGGGTTCTCCTCACAAGCACAAAGTCACAGTCATTCATTTAATTGCTATCTTGTGTTACTGGAGTCACAGTTCCCCAAACATTTTTCAGAGTGCTAGGAATACCAGTTATTAAACTATGTAATCTACTTTTTTGAGGTTAATGAAATTTTATGCCTAATTCTGGTGATCCTTCTCATTATGAAGTGTTTTCACTGCTATAGTCAAATACGAAGGAAAGTGGAGAAATAGCCCTGCTCCTTTTTTTTTTAAGATAGCTCCTTCCTGAAAAGGCAGTCTGCACATTATATTCTGTTCTTCCATATACCAGCATTTGGCATGTTTGATCTGGTGCCTAAGGGATATAGCCAGTTGGCTTAGGTGCCTGTGAAATGCAGGTTGATTCCAGCAAGATCAAACATGAATGATGTTCACTGGCTTTGGAAAGCTTCCAGGGAGCCTGGGGCAGCCAGAAGGTCTGACCTACTAAATGGGCCTCATTTGGACACCATTCATTCTCTGTTTACAGGTTTAACCCTTTGGCTGTAGTTCAACATTCAAATTTTTATTTCTCTTTTAAAGCAAAAAAAGTAATTAGAAATCATTATTTAGGCAAAAATACTCACCAGCATAGGGCATCTTTCCATAAGTGATTATTTCAAAAAGAAGTATCCCAAACGACCACACGTCAGACTTAATGCTGAATTTATTGTGGTGGATTGCCTCAGGGGCTGTCCATTTCACTGGGAGTTTTGTTTCATGCCTAGCTTCATATATATTTTCATTTTCTACCTGCCATGGTTAAAACAAAGCAAGCTTGAATTAGGATCTTGTTCAGCAAAATATTTAAGCCCTATACTAAGCTAAACATGTGCTTAAACTTACCCTTTCTTCTAGTCAAGTACTTGCATTTAAGGGTATTAAAGAGGGCACTTAATGAACTCTTTTCTTGAAACGGAGTTTAGAGTTGAGAAACACTGCTGTTCATAAGACACTTTTCCAAAGCATTTATCATCTCAAATGAGCACGCAGAGTTGAAATGGCTTGTGATTAATTATGACCTGCTACTGTGAATTCTGGATCTTGCATGAGGATTTCAAGTCTGCCAGGAGTGGCAGTGTAAGCATCCTGCTGACACTAGAGACCAAATGCCTTCACGTCTGGTCTTCAATAAATGGAGAAGGCAAAAGCAAGAGCTAAATGAATTTCAGAACCATTGTTTTGTGATTTACTACAGAGTTGAAGGGCCATTGACTTTGCAACAATCACTTAAGAAAGTTTCAGGATCAGAGAACGAACTCCGAGTTATTTAAATTAACATATTAGCTTACAGTGTCTCCAATTAATTCATGCAAAGTGAAGATGACAGACGTACAGAAAAGGGAAAATTATTTACTTTCAGCTTGAATTACTTTTCCTTTACCCATATACTCATGTCTTTAAAGCTTTATAGCACAGACATCTAAACTTTGGGAACATTTATTATGTCTCTGACTCCTAAATGTAACTTAGTGAATACCATCCACATCCAAGCTTTTGTCAGGTTCTTCACACTCAAATTTAGATAAATGTGTAGAGGCATTTTGTTTTGTTTTGATTTAAATACAGAATGTGTTCTTTCCTAGTTATAATGTCCTGTCCTGCACTTTTGATAAGATTGCACCAGTTGATGTCTTGTACCCAGGTACTGATAACTTGGCATCTTAAGCACAACATTCTTCTCTCGGAACAAGAAATAATGATAATTAATGCTCTGTGTTTTACTTCTCTTGCCTAACATTTTGGGATCTTTGCATATGATCACATTAATACTTAGGCTTAGAAGCCATAACATTCCTAAGAAAATCTGCCAACACTATTCTATGACAGAGTATTTTGGAAAAGTTCAATTTTAATGAGAAATGTCAAAAACTGTAAGTTATTACCTCACCAATGAGGATAGTAAGCATTGTAAGCATAGTTCATTTAAGATATATATTTTTCATGTTAAGAAAATGTGCAATCTCATCTTAATGCATAAATATAAGAATGAAAATCAAGCAAAAAGTACATTCAAAGTCTCTTGATGCCATTGTCAAGCAATTATTTTACACTTTGATATGTAATAAATCTAAGTGTGTCAGGAACAGCAATTTAGGCTTCTCGAATGGAAAACAAACCAACCAAAAAAAAAAAAGAAAAAAAAAGAAGGAAAATGGCTTGTTTTTCTCAGTTTTTCCCTCTCAGTGCAAGAATATAATCAATAAAAAGAATAATGAGACCTCACAAATTATAGATTGCATGTTGAAAACCATAAAATTTAGCAGCCAAATCTTCCCAACTCTGATCAAATCCTTTTAAGAAGTAGGAAATCTCATTTCTAAACTGCAGCCATCATTATGGGGCATTTCATACCTTCAAACACTAAAGAAAAAGAAAAAAAAAGCACAATGGCAATGAGTTTGAAACTTCATCAGATTTAAATGTCTGAGAGCTCACCTTATACTCTGCGGTTGGCTGTGTAGGGGAGCAAGATATTTTTATAATGGCAATCTGTATTCCAGGCACCATAGAGGAAGTGAGTAAGGAATAACAGGAAGAATAGCTGTCAATAGATTCTTATATGCCTTCCTTTACAAGCTCAGGAATATACTCCTTGCCATAATACCTGCCATTTCCCTCCATATGCCAGACACTGGCACTGTGGAAATGTTTGTGCAGCAAAGTGCATAAAGCTACCAGGCTCCTTTCCTGCTATTTGCGTGGGAAGCAGTCACTGGACTGCGGTCTAGCGACTAGCGCAAAGGCACAGGCCAGCTTCTAAACTTGCACTGGGGAATACAAGACAAGGGGCTCTTTGTTTTCCATGGGACATACCATTTGTTCAACAATATCAATTCAGAGTTTATAGTTCATACCTAGTTGGCCTTTTCTATTTCCCTCCAGAGCTGAAATGGAGGAATTCCAACTGATGATTCATCTTCTCACAACCCACCTTAAAAACTCTTGCAAGCCCGAAATCTGCCACTTTGTAAATATTGTGGTCACCAACAAGAACATTCCTGGCTGCCAAGTCCCGATGAATATAGTTCTGGGATTCAAGGTAAGCCATTCCTGAAGCCACCTGAGCAGCCATGTCTACCTGATGTGTCAGACAGATTTGGGAGCCTGCATCATCTGTTTAAAAGAAGACAAGGATAACATAACATCTGTATTATTCAGCTATAATAAGATAACAGCTCACTGGTCCAAACAGCAACACACTTGAGAAGGCCAAGTAATGCAATAAAAAGAGCCCAATCAAATGCTAGCCGCGGAGTAAATGATACTACACAGTCATGCAAATAGTTTCATTTTAGTTGACTAACAGTGACTCTCCCATCTTGAATGAAAATGTAGATACAAAATTCAACAGCTGATGTAGGCCTAGAAGAAGCTGTTGAAACATTACAAAGAAAATGGCATTTTTCTACTGATAGCAATGCAGTTTTTTTGCGTGTGTACAATGTGTTCCAAAATGTGATTAAGAACTAATGCCAGTACTCACTGGGTAGAGCCAAAGCAAATTGAAGAGGGAAAAGCACAAAATGAGCCTTGCTCCCCATTCTTCAATGATTTTTACTAGGAAATAAACCATCTGCTGTCAAGTGTAGCTCTCATTTTCACTTTCAAGTCTACTTGGCTGCTTCATGCTGCTATCTCTGCTGCTGCTCCTCAATACTAAGACTCCTTGAGTTGCTTTCAAGCTGCCTGCCTCTTTTGTAGGACTTTCTGCAGCAACGTGCATGACATTCACAGCACTGTAAGATCAGCAAGTCCTAGAAATAGCAACTTGGCAATTCCAGATAGGGTGTTTAGACAAAGCAGTAAAAGAACTTTGGACAGAACAAGTTGCCTTCACAAACTCAGCAGAGAGTCTTAGGGCCATGAAAAACTACAGCCATAAATAGTAAGATAGACACCAAAAATGCCACTGGAGTATAACACATTAGAATTCAAATTCAGGGTCTTTGTGACACTTTGGGGACAGCTGAACTCACCATAGCAGAGAAAGGAATTCATACAGTTAGGTAATCCAAGTAAGCCAAATCAGTTGTTATATTCTGCATCAGACATCCTAATCCACAGCTTGCAGCACGAAAGCCTAAGTGGCTATCACAGTAGTCTCTAATTCTCAAAAAACTTCAACCTCTATTTCAAAATCCTATTTACACCTAAAATCTGTGTTTGCTGCTGTATGCATTGACAGTTCTGCTTTCTCTCTCTCATATGGTGAATGTCCCTTAGTGCCCCTGGGTTAAAGAAATAAATCATTTGTAGCTGGCAGCTTTCTGAGGCTTATTTTAAATTGATTTGTATTGAAAGTGTGTTAGCATTGTTTTGCATAGCTTCCTTCAGTTCTGGCATTTTATCTGACCTAACCTTGCAATCACTCCTTATGAACAGTGTGAAATTCTATTGTTTACTAATCTATTCTTCAATCTCCAGGCTTTGAATTTCCTGCTCATCTGGATGTTCTGAGATGAACAGGTAAAAGAAATGAATTTTAGATGATTAAATTTGTCCTGTGTATCTATTGTCCTACTTCCTTTTCGAGGTTAAACTCATTGTCATGATAATCCAGCACTGCGATTATTTACTTCTGTTATTGACTCAAAAAACTCTTTTCCTCCCTGTACACATGCTTGATAGCAGTCTTGACCTTTAAAAGAGAGATGGAGAAAAATCTGGCTATGTGACAAACTATGGCTTAACCATCAAGAAAATCCATCATCAGGCCACAGAACAATATACTGCTCTTAAATTTTGCAGTTCGGAACTGCAGACATTACATAACTGGCAGACATTAACTCTTCAGCTTGCTGAACAAAGATATAAATCCATGAATGAAGTGTATTTTGCATTTTGTATTTAATCATAGGTACTCTACGTACCTATGAGAGGGTAGACGTAGAGTACCTATGAGAGGGTACATGGGTTTTGGAAAGTACTTTGGAAAGTAACACTGAGTAGTGACTCAGAGTTAAAACCTTCCCACCCCATCTGGGTGGGAATCTCCTTCATCTGCACAAGCTGAACTACCTCTTGGTGACAGCAGACAAGGTGCAGACTCAAGCAGAGGTTCATCCAACATCTGGCTGTGCTTGAAGCCCATGTTCTGCTGTGCTGAAGCACACGCTTGCTCCAAATAGGAACCCAGGAGATAACACTGGCATGGCCAAAGGGTAATTCATAAGCCTTGCCTTTAATAAATTGTTGGAGTCTAGTGCGGGAGAACACACAGAGGCACTGTGTTAAAGAGATCCACCTATTTAGGTTGAGTTGCAGCTGAAAGCTTGTTTTTGTTTTTTTCTTTTTTCAGATGGGACCTGTCTGGGATCCCAAGTCAGGCTGAACAGCAACTTTTGGCATGAGGGCTGAGGTAGTGGGGAGGATTCCTAAATGCACCTCTGACAACCCAGGGTGTTTGGCCAGCAAACTACTCAAGTTCAAGCACAGCACTGCATTAGCGCTGCAGAAATTTCCAGAGCAGAGCTACTTCACATCTAGCTTGTTCAGAGCAGGAAAAAGGAGCAGGAAATCTGCATCCAAGTTTATTAGGTGTGTAAGTTTGTTTCTAATTGTTCTCTGGAGGAAAAAGTACAGCAAAACAGAAAAGCTGGATTAACTTTCACGCTCAAAATCAGCCACTACTGATGAAATTATATAAGCTTCTCATAACTTGTTCTTTATCATATAAAGAAAATGCATCATCTCTATGTCCTTTTTTCTACTACTACTATTTGACAAAACCATCTCCTTTATATGAAAAACTTATTACAGAAAAATGTTAAAGAAGGCTCAGGCCTGCACCTTGTTCTAATCAATCAATCACTATATCTCACTTAGAAAAGACAGGAAAACATTGTCACTGACAGACTTGACTAAAAAAAAAAAAAAAAGAAATTAAACAACGCTTTACCCTGCTGAGAACATTGCTTTGGTAATAATTTCAATACTGTGTTTTTGCTAATGCTGAGAACATTGCTTTGGTAATAATTCACCAGATTTCAATACTGTGTTTTTGCTAGGGCAAGTCTCAGGTCTATCACAACCGATAAAAACATTCATACATTTATGACAATTTCATTCACATCCAATTATGAAGAAGGTTTTCTGTTCCATTTTTCTCATATTGGTGGCACTTCAATAACTCTGTGCAGCTGTGTCCATCAGGAGATATACCAAAGCACATCCACAGCACACACAGTGGGGCCCCATGTCCCTTGCTATTACGTAGGTGTCTTTCTGTTAGAATATGATAGTCACCATGCACAAAGCATTACCTTACAGAGCTTTTCTTGTTTGTTTGTTTGTTTGTTTAGTCAGGCATTTCCAGGAGGAAAAAATTTGAACAAAATAATCTCTGGACTTTCCCTCTTTTCCGGGTTGCCATAATTCACCCTTAGTGTAAACAGAGCTAGCAGCCCTGTGTTAAAGTTTTCCAAGTCTTTGAGGTGGCTGAATCTCAAAAATGCCTATCAGACTACATACTGCCAATGCCGATCATATCCAGATGCAAAATATCTGATGCCTAATCATCCTAATTGACAACAATGACTCTTCTCCACCGATACCTATATCCACCTCTGCCTCCACCTCTCCATTCTGCTAATCCCCTTGTGCACAGGAGGGACACCACTAGGCTGCTCTAAACTGGCTGTCTTGATGGTTGTCCAGACTGACTGACTACAGTGCCTTAGACCAGATCATCCTGCATATGCACCCTACTAATGGCAAGGGCAGCTTCTGTGCATAGGCTGGTAACTGATCTACGCATGGCTGCAGCACTGAGGTGCCCCAGACATTTCACACTTTATACAAAAACAGAGGTCAATTTTCACTTTTGCAATAGCTATGATTCATCCTGACTTTCTCAGAGCTTTTTCTCCCACACAATAAATGTTTTCATGCACAGCAATCATTTTCTGGATGTGCTGGGTTCCTTCAATCAGGCAAGTGGCACTCTGCACACAAAAGCTGCGAAGATCAGAAGTTAAAGGAAATTGAAGTACTTCACTCCTTTGGCCCTTAATAACTTACAAAAGTTTAGATGATCTGCCCAAGTTCCTTGTACCCTTGGTCTTCATAGTTCCTAAAGGGGCTGTCCCTCTAATGAATATTTCTTTAGCTGTAATTGTCTCTGGAATGAGCCTACCTTAAAAAGTGGTTCTACAGAGAGGATGGGGGGAAAGTGTGTGTTAATGTAGATACTGTCTACAATATTTCACAGGGCTTTGCCTTACTGTTTGGAGGCAGAAAAGAGACTTTCCAAGGCAAATGGAGTAAACATTTTACCTTCAAAAGATCATTACAACATTAGAGACATTCAAGATTTCAGAAGCATTCACTAAACTCAAAATGGAGAACAGCACTAGGATGAGGTTTTTCTCAATAGCTGCAAAGAACCTAAAGTGCAATCACTATGCTAGTCTGTTCCAGGCTGTACAACTTTATTTTTTTACTGTTATTTGCCTTCAAAAGAGTACTTTGAAGTCCTGCTGAGATAAGAGCCCTGATGTGAAAGGCAAGGGACAAACATAAGCCAAAGTGTTTCCCTGCCTGGTAATAGATTTCAAAGCTGTTAAGTGCATTTTGTGGAAGTGCTTGCATTGCATATCAAATATGATGATCTTCCCTTCTGTAGGCTTATCTTTTTATTCTGTGTGTGTAACTTCCTACCTACTAGTAGAAGTGGGCAGAAAAATGTGGGTCATTATGAGGCAAGAATCAAACTGTGAAAGTGATTCTCTCCTACATCTTCTAAAATAATTTGATATGTCAAAAATTCATAAGCCTTTTTCTTTCTCCCATCCCATCCCCAGCAAATACTGCCACTTCTAGATTAAATCAGTGTTGTACTTCTATCTTTTATGTTAGTTCATCTACTAAACTGAAAGCTGTGGCACCCCTTAAAATGAGTTTATAGTTGTTTACTTACTTTGAAGGTATTCTAGAAGACTTCCGTATCTCATCAGCTCAGTAATAATAAAAATTGGATCCTCTAAAGTACAAACAGCATAAAGCTGTATTAGCTTTGGATGTCTCAAGTTCTTCATTATTTGTGCTTCTCTCAGAAAGTCCTTTGGATCCATTGAACCTGAAACAACAACATATAACAAAAGATAAGCTAAAGCTATTAAAGGTGTTCCTACCTGCTTGGCAGCCTTAAGAGAATAACTGAGAATATTTTCTGTCTCTGCAAGCATATTAGCATCTCAAATCTTCACAGTTCCCAGAGAAAACAGACAGTGCAGCTGAAGAAAAGCAACTAACAAGTTAAATATGACATTGCGTAGGCAGAGAAAACATATGTGGTCCAGGAACCAGGAACATGAAGGTTAAAATTGTTTTAACCAAGGCTGAAAAAAATGAGGATATAATTTTACATGATAAAATGTAGCAAAATAATACGTTACTCACTCCTGATTAACAGAATGTCCAGAAACTGAAGAAAAATATCTAGATAACGAATATAAAAGTTCTGATAGAAAAATAGTGCTAAAATTAAAATTTCTGGCACTGTTTTTTTCAGCTTCAAAGATAAAAATCTGAAAACACTGAAATCACCTTAGCATATAAAGAACATGTGTATTTCTACATACATAAACATGAATAAATATTTATGTAATATATAACTTTATATAGAAGTGGCATAGGGAGCTAAAGTGTAGCAAAGTTAGGATCAGAACTCATATATCCTGAATAGGTAGATTGTTTTGAAAAAAATAGCACAAGTAAAGAAGAAAAGCTTTCTCTGTGGATGATCTAGGAGCAATCACATATCATGAGAGGTTTCATGAACACAATCAGATAAGCAAAATAATAATTAAAAAAATCCCTACTACAAATCAATTAGCTAAAACTTGCTCCAATGGTGGCAAAGAATAGTGGCATTTCTTTTAGGAAGTTTATATAAAAGAAATATATATAATATATGTCATGAGAAGTTTAAGCTAATGTTTCTTTTTTTTAGTTTGTAGTTAAATATATATGTGTTTTTAATGAAGTAGATGTTTTTAGATGTAAGTGGTAAGCACAGTACAAACAGCAGATTATTATAGGTAGAAACCAAGTTGCCAAAAAACTCCTAGTTGACATAAACCTCTATTGTAACAACTATGTTGTGTGAGACACTAGTTCAGGAGTAAATTGATCACTACCAGAATATAACATGATTTTGTTTTGTTTTTTTTATTATTATTATTATTTTTTGAGAGAACAGCAAGTGATGAATATTTTTGTAAATGCTAAGGACACATTTAAGGACAAAACTAACACTGACAGGTGCCTATAAGCAGTCCCTTTTCCTCTTTTCCAGAAATCACCTCTAATGTAACATACTTAAAGCAGGCATATCATTATTTTACTGGTTACTTTATTTCTGGAAATATTTTCTAGAAGAATTGAGGAAGCTTCATATTGTAAGAAAAACACTGATTACTTGAAAATGAGTTAGACAGAAAATTTTAATTTTTTCTGTCTAGTTTCCATTGACCTAAGTGGTCCCTAAATATTTGATAAGCTGTTCTGAAGGAAAATCTTTTTGCAAGTTTTGATAAATCTTCGCAAATGACTTCAAAGTGCATTGAACTTTGTATAATGAACTTCTGAATTGATTTATGTGCAATAAAGGAACAACATTAAAAAGTACAAGTTATTAATAATACAAGGAACCATTTGAGTAAAAACTGTTCATATTAACAGGAGAATGAGTTGGGTATCTGAAAGTGCTCAGCTTTCTCAGCATATACAAGTTAACGTACAGTGTTAGGTACTGAATCAATTGTAATAAAATAATTTCTTTGTTCAGGCATACTGAGAAAATTGCTCGAATGCAAAGCCGTTTACACCTCATATGCACCGAAGAGATACAATATTCAATAACTGAAAATGTAATTAAAACATCTGATAACTGTATGCAGACAATGTTTATTATGAGAATATTATCTCCTAAACAAACACTGCTTTGGCGGTTTCCATACAAAAGACAGAAATGTGGGAGATGCTTTACAATATCATAATGACAAATGCATCCATCAGCTTGAACAGGCTGAAGGAATTTCTTAGATAGGATTAATTGGTGATGATAGATGTCTACTTCATGTACTGACAGTTGGAGAAGCAAAGCAACCTAGACAACAGTTCCTAGAGAATCCATCACACCCAGAATAGGACAAAGTGCAAATCCCTGGTGCAATAATTTCCACTTAAACAGTAAAAAAAATAATAATAAAAATAAATAAATAAAAATCAAGAAGACGGAAACTCAAATCCTTGGACTTCTCATAGTTGCAGACATGGCTGACTGGCACATTATCAGTGCTGGAGGCTTCTCTTCCCAAGTCGTTCTCCCTTGGGTGTTTATGGGAGTAACAATAATGTGGTCGTGGGGAACAATATTGTCTAAGAATGAGGAAGGAAAGGTGGAGGTGGGAACACAAGAGAAGTCAAAAGAGAAACAAAGAGGGAGAGATGGAAAGACATGTCCAGCATCATGCTGGGTAGCTCAGGGGACAAAATACTACAGTGCAACCTCTGCACAAAACACCAGGAAGCAGGGCTGCTATTAATTAACATATCAACAGTTAAGGTTTTTAGCATAATGAGAACCTGTCTCACATTAACAAATGACATTTAGGATAACAAAAAGTTCTTAATATTGATGTATTAATAAAAGATATTAGAGATATTTTACAAGACTTGGTATTAGTTTAATCAAAAGTCTCTAGCTTAATTGTGAGTCTTGTGACTCTTCCTGCAAGGTTAATGGAAATCTTGTCTAAATATAAAGAACACAAACTAATCATCCTGACATTTTGAAGGGTTCCACAATCCACCACTCGCTCTGAGAAAAAAGTATTTAAAAAGTCAGGGGAAAAAATGATTCCAAATCAATATAGATTTCATCTTCTGAGTCTCAATAGGGAAGTACTGAGCATTTTCCTTAGAGATGGATACAAGCTTACAAGAAACAGGAAATCATTGCAAATTATTGGTTCATTAAATCTGAAAACCTCTCAGGTTGAATGTTGCTTTCTCATACAAAATTTCTTCCATGGCCTTGGAGAGTTGTGTCTGGAACTCCATGTTTAAAAGCCAGTAGACCCAAACCCTGAAACCAGTTAATTCAGGTACTATATATCATAAGTGCAGGAGAGCAAATACCCCACATATAGTTTAATAGAGGAGGGTCATTTTTCATGACTTCCTCAGAAGACCTAGTCTGTCTGCACTTCTGGGTCAGAGGGCTTTCAAGTCAAATAGTTTAAGACCTCAGAGGCTCCAGCAACTAGAGATTTTTCTCTTTTGTTGTTGATGTAAATTCCATGGAATTAGAGAACACTGCCAGTAGTTGATTCATTTCATCAACTGTAGGCAATTGTTCAGACATCTGGGTCTGAGCTAGTTGTCCAGACTTTACAATCAAAGGAAAGAAACAGGCATTAATGGCATATTATTCTCTCACTGTAATGCAAATTTATAATCTAGAGTCTGATTTATCTGACATGTAAATATGTGTTTCTTTCTAGTGCTTGTAAAGAAAGACTAAGATTTAGATGCCAAAATAATAAAATTATATCTCTTATGATATAGGCATAATTTCTGAAAGAAAATACTTGTGACATTTCTAGTTTGTGTGAAATATCCAGAAAATTTTCTCTTGCTTCATACTGGAATGGAGACAAGTTTTGAATATTGTAGTTACTCAATAGCCAGAAATCACACACATGTGGGAACTGCCTCAGGGAAAATTCTATCATTGCCATCTCACCAGAATTCTAGGAGCTGATTTTTTCCTTTTGGTATGATTCCAATTGGACTGGAAGTCATCTACCTGCACAATCCATTTTGGGGACTTTTAACTGTAATAGCCAGAAATTAGAGGATATCCAGAAAAAAAAAAAAAAAAAACCTTTAGAAATGAAGAAACTACCATACACAAAGAAAATATACTTCCTGTGGATCTACACAGTAACACAGTTTAGCAGAAAGTCTTTGCTTTAAAATATTCCCCCTAAACCCAATCTGAAGGCAACTTGATTTAGATCAGTGAGTCAAGTATCTGGAGAGTGTCATATTTGAAGCCCGAGATGTTGGAAGTTTCAATCACCAGCATGTAACATGATGCATTTCCTGATTATTCATGAACTTTCCATTCACTTATCACCTCTGTATTGAGATAAATGGAATCACCAGACCTAATCTTGGTTTTAATTTTATTTGTTTCAAACTAAGCATTTATTACTCAGACTACAGTGAGGGGATTTATTTATTTTTCTTTAGCTATTGAAATGCTATTACTCATGAGTAACAATAAAATCAAGCTTTGGAGAGCTAATGGGCTTAACTGATTAAAATAAGGTACTCCAAGTGGAGAAAAGCTTTCTATAGAAAAGAATAATTCTCTAGAAAAGTATATTGCAAGGTCCAATGTTGCCACTTGAAACTGATCTATTTCTGTAGAGCAGTTAAATATTTCACAAATTACGCTGATTAGAGAATCAGTAATACCTATATAACTTATTAAGATGATTTTGAGGATCAAAGCTTGCCCTTGAGCAACACTGGGTGTAGTGCTTCCCCTTCTCATCACAGTACACAACCACAGTCCCCCAGGTACACAGATATCACATCTAGGTGAAGTCTGTGTGTATCATAATCCAGTTCCACTGTGAAATCAGGGAGACTACTACAGTTGACTACAGACCTCTTGCCTTCAACAGGAGGCAGAGGAGAGTGAACAAAACAGATAGCAGAGGTATTAATTTACTCCTTTTTCCCAGCCAAAGTATCCAAACAAAGAGTAACAGAATTGAAGGGGCTTCTTCCTCTGTAGCATGTCTGTATGTAGTAGCAACATGCTCACACTGAAATAAACAGTCGTGGATAATATTTGCTAAAAACAAAACCATTTTTCACTAATCAACCTACCAGAAAAGCTTATGTGGCCATTTTTGTTGTTTCACAGTCTGCTATGAGTGCATCCATAGAAAACCCTGTTATTACAGAAACTGAAAAATACCTTATTTTCCTGCTTACATTAGCTTAGTAGTATCATGCTCTCCATATGCTTTATCAACAAGGAATTGAGAAGATAATGAATTAAATAACAATCACAGAAAGTTTCTATGCAGCTCGTATCTGTCTGAGATACAAAACTTGATGTCACTAACACTTTTCTTGAGGTACATTATTAGTAGCAATCAGTCAGATGAATAGCATCAAAAAGAAAAACAGAGAGGTAAATTTGTTGTCTTTTATCATCACACTTGGGAACAAAAAGAAGCCCAGAAGGTATTCTGAAAATTTTGTGACTTCTAGAACACTTTAGATAGGTAGAGAAGACTGAAAATGAACGTGATAGTAGTTTTCTAGTTTATAAAGAGGAAGAGAATAATGTGCACCCCATAACCATGGCTAATCAGACAAGATGCAACAAGTTCGTTCAGCTGAATGAAAAATTCAGGTCACATATGAGGGGAAGAGTCTTTTTTGATAGGCGTGATGCTGGCAATTGAGCAAGAACGCTTGGAGAGACTGTGTTGTTGCTAGAGTCACTGGTTTCAGAGGTTTTTAAAAATAGGTCTTTCAAGTCTTTAAAAAAAAAGTCTTAAAATAGGTTTTCCTGCCAGGAAAGATATAGCTTTAGTAGTTCCTGTCTTAGGACAGAAAAATGGACAGAGATTTCAAGACAGTTTCTGTGATTACCCAGGGCACTAAGGGTTCATACCGGTTTACTGGAAAAGTATGCTGTCACACGAATTACAGAATGGCCTTAAGTCTCAACAGTTCTCCCACTTTGAGTTCAGCACAGAAAAAAGCTTTCCTATCACAGAATCACAGAATGGTTAAGGTTGGAAGGGACCTCTAGAGATCATCTAGTCCAACCCCCCTGCTCCAGCAGGGACACCTAGAGCACGTGGCGCAGGGTGGCATCCAGGCAGGTTTTGAAGATCTCCAGAAAAGGAGACTCCACAACCTCTCTGTCTGTTTTCATTTTGCAAGTCCCCAAAAGTATACAGTATTCTCATAGAAGACAGCCCTAAAACGCCTGCTTAAATTCATCCCTATTCAGGAGAACATCCAAATAGGATTGAAGCATATTTAGATGAACCTCCAAACTGAAGACGTGAAACATGATCAATAATGCCAAACACAAGCTTTTTCAGTTAACCATAAGGCATTATAATGTTTTCTCATTTTAAAAATACATATATCATACAGGCTACTCTTCCTAGCTATGAGATTCTTGCCATCTGCTGGTAGATATTTTATGTTTTTTGTTTTAAAATGAACAAATTAATTTAAGTTAATCAAAAATACACAAGTAAAAAGTTAAAACTGTATCAGTTACCAATGTATACTATAGGCAAATATTGGGAATTAATGTTGCAGATCAAAAATATATATTTATTTTTAGAATCGAAGCACTTCTTAATACAAGATTAATACAGTACATATCTTGTGCTAACAAAAGCATCATTGTAATACAGAGTCTAGCCACTAGAAGATATTCTGCAGACTATGAATCAGTAGTAAATTGATTATTTCATCTATAAATTAAACATAGTCATTCAGTTCCAAACAATCATCTATAAATTAAACATAGTCATTCAGTTCCACACAAGTAATATTCTATAAAAGGGATAACCTTGCTCAAATTGTGCTTTTATGCAGTAACCATCAAACGAGAATGTATCCAGTTGATAAAGAAACAGTGAGTTATAAAAAACTAAAAACTTCTATAAAAGGAATGACTGTTTTTAGGAATAGGCCATATTTGCAGTAATTTTTTTTTTAAAAAAGGTGCTTGCCAATGTTTTACTGTACTACTATTTTTTACTACTACTACTTGACATTGCTACTAATCAAGATTTAAGAGTAATTCGCATACCTGGTTTTAATGTTTTAATTGCCACAGGGGTGGTATTATTCCACAGTCCTTCCCATACCTCACCAAACTGACCAGATCCTAATTTTTTCAAGAATTTCAGAGATTTTCGGTCTATCTCCCACTGATCCACAGTTTTATAAGACAAATCAAAAGTAGAAGGAATTTGCACCTGGTATAAGAGAAGAAATAATACAGTAATTTAGATTTCTTTTATTTTTACAACAGCATATTGGTAATTATGTCACATAAAGTTGCAACTGATATGAATAATTTTTCTTGAAAGCACAGCCATATGATAAAGTGTGTTGGGTACATAAAATACAGCCCACATATTGGGTACTTTTTTTTACTGAATTATTATTTAACTCTAAAAAAATATTCGGCCATTAAAAAATGAAAATTAGAAATCATCCCTCTAGCAAGTTCTTCAACAATGACATACTTCTTGCCTGAACCCAGTGGTTTTGTCTCAGTAATTACTTATAGACAGCTAGAGTTATGAAGTTCATGATTTCATCTCCATATCCATTTACAAAAAGGTATTAATAAATCGTGATTTGGCATATTTTTTCCTCTAGTCACATGATGATTTGTTCAAATGGCATGGTATTTTATTATTAACATGTCAGCTTCAAGAATGAAACTGTAATGCTATCCATGACTTCTGGAAAATAACAAGGTTAAGCACCATTTTGAAATGGTAGAAACAGCTATGGGGCTAACACGTTCTAACAAATACTTGAAAACTATATGCACAACATATAGCATCCAGTCCTACCTTAAGACATGGTTTCCCAAGTGTCACGCAGAGGCCGTCACTGTTCTTACTGTAATAGTCAACAAACTCACTCAGAGTTTTAAAAGTTTTCCGTCTGCTTAGGAAAAAGCCTCCTTCATCCAGCCTTTTGATCCTGTAATGCTTCACAGATTCACCATCAAAAACTAAAAGGATTTAAACATATTAAGTTTCTGGGTCTTACAGCAGTAGTACTGTATAGTTTATAGTCAGCAGTTTCAAACCAGCTTAAGTGACATTAGGCACCTAAATGTGTTTTTAAGGACGTTAAAAATAGAATTTAAAGACCTAAAATAAATTAGTTGAGTTTCAAAGATAGCAGCTACACAAAGCCTCTTTCACACTGAAGCCCACTTTTTAGGTGGTTTAACGTATCTATTCTACTAATTTTTAAACATTCAGGTCTGCAGATTCTTGCACTATGAAGCTTGATGCAAAAGTACATAAAAGTACCTTCCTGCCTGGAAAGCTGATATTCTCCATCTTTTAGGACACCAAAACCAAGCTCAATCATCTCATTCAAAGGAAACATTGAATCTGTTTTTAATATTTCATTTATCAATATTATCATCCCATATAGCAGCTGCTGGAGGCATTTTAGACCAAACAAATATACACACCATATGGCCATGATTTTCTGAAGAACACTCACATCTTCCATAGATCTTGTACTTGGAATATGCAAAAATCAGGCCAATAATGCTACATTTTGAGTAGCTGATGACTCTTTTCCAACCAAATGTCTTTTATTCTTATCCATTTTTTTCTTAGTCAACAAGATATTTATCTCCTTGCTTCCTATAAGTTATTTAGGTACATGTCAAAACACCCAGAGAGCCCTTGTCTCTTGCTTTCACAGGAGTCTTTGGTGGTGTCAGAAAGTAGTCTGGGCCTCTGTTTGCTGGGGCTAGTGAGTGGGAGGAACAGCAGCAAACCAAAGATGGAGAAAAATGCACTGTAACTCAGTCCATTATTTACGGAGGAAAAGCCTTGTAATTGCCATTTCTTACTGGGTTGCCATATATGGCTTAGAGAACTCCTGTACAAAGGAACATCAGAAGTAGCAATGGCTATAACATCTGAGTGGTAGCCGGGAAAGTCTCTCTAAAGAGCTGGAAAGAAGTCTAGTCTCACACATGGGGCAACAATTAATGTGACACTCCATTACTGAGACCATCGCTGTCCATTTCCAGTAAGGAGTAGAGAGCTTGTTATATCCAGAAGGATAACTGGTTCAACTCCTATCAACTCCTATCTGGATATTGTTATATCCAGAAGGATAACTGGTTCAACTCCTATCAATACCACAGTTGGCAGCTCTAATATTGACAGAGTTTTCTGTAATAAACCTCACTTCCTAATGAGGAATCCTGACTGTACAGAGCGTTACTCAAGAAGGAAGAGGTTTAAGCAGAAGGGTGATTTTTCTGCAGCTCAAATAAGAAGATATATGCATCTGGGGAAGGAGGTTTTCTGATCCTGCAAGTTTCAGGTGCAAAATACCCAGAGCTCAGGGAATGATACCAAACTGTAATCAGATTAAGGGAGAGAGAGTATTTGAAAGTTGGCATTTTTTTTCCACCTCCACTTGTTAGGGCAGGTGTTGCAGAAAGGTGAAGACACACAGATAGGCCACAAAATTTGAGAGGTCAGTGGGAGAATTGAGCCAGGAAGGAGAATGGGAATCATCTAGTAATGAGCTTGGGAAATGGTCAGAAAAAAACAGTGGATAAATGACAAAATGGGAAAGATTAATTGAAAGAGAAGATAGTGGCAATAAGTAAAAGACAGTGGGAAACTCAAAATTTTATCAAAGCCTGCTACTCCCTGAAAAGACACTGTTGTTCCACAATGAATGGGTAAAAAACTGCAAAGGCAGGAGGACATTCCAGTTACCATCCTGTTGCTGGTCATGCACCTTGCACCTCTCAGGGTGGGCCAGGTGCCTCCTTCCCCACCATGTATTTAGGAGATCACTGGTGTAAGCTCTTTCTCAGAGCTCGCACACAGTACTAAATGGAAAAGCAACAGAGAGCCATAGCGGAAAGATCTTCTGCCGTTTATATTCATTATATTTTTTGGTAACCAAAATTAGAGGAAACATTTAATTAAGTCATGCTATTAGTGGCTACTCTTGGTTATATAATTAATTTAATATCAACGTGTTTCAGTCCTACTAGCAACCTCAGTCTGCCACTCACATATGAAAATCTAGTTGTTGGCAAGTTTATTATTGTAGTCCCTTGGAGTTTCCCCTACTGAAATATCCTTGATGTTGTAGCTTTCACTTTGCAGTCTGCCTCCATAGAATGTGTGTTTAGCTTTTACAAATTATTCTAAAAGCTCAGGAACACATGCCATAGGTCTTGAGTTAACTTTTGAAAGTAAATGGGCAATCATTTTAGGCATCATACTAACAGAAGAATTCACAGACCCATACGTGTGTTCCAAGATCTTAGAAAATTAGTTAATACATATACAATATATCCTTTCTCACCCTTACCTGAATAAATTCAAATGAAAATCTTCCTTTAGCACTAACGTGTCTGATCAAATGTTTTCCAAATGGCCTGTGTGATTGTCACCCCCGATCACTAGAGGGCATATAGGGGTTGTTGAAAATCTGAAGGGTTTTTATAACTGTCTCACATAGAATTTTTAGGGAGCTAAGTTGCCAACATACAATTCTGCACGAGTATCAAACAAGAAAATTTGTACAGATAAATTCACAGTATAAAAATAACATCAGTCACTTTTTAAATTCTGTCTTCCTTCCATTTAACACATAATTAATACTATTTCAATTATAAAAAACATGTAAATGTTTGTGATGTATGATTTGGTACAAGGGTAATGACAAATGACTTACTTAAAGAGTAATTCAGCAAAATGAAAATTCGTTGGCTTTTCCAAAGTTCAAAGTGCATCTGGGCAGAAGAATTGTTAATTATGATTTGGCAAATAAATGGCCAGCAGGATGACTGTGTTAACTTGGTCTCATCTATATAATCAAAAGTGATAGTAGCTTGAGTATCTGGTTTATTTATTAGCAATATTATAATTATTATTTGTAAAACAGATAATCTTTATGTAAGAGTTGGTTTGAAAGGTGTGTTCTAATTTCTTAAATGAACTTTGTACAAAACCCTATGGTTAGCAGTGTTTAGATCAGATGACATCAGCACTGACTCCTGACCTTATGTTTACTAAGTCTGTGGGTAATAGTATCCTCAATGTTCTGGAGAGCTTCCAGTTTATACTGCAATTTGCAGTTACCACTTTATCCTGGTTCATGGTATTTTGTTGATATTCAGGTTGCATTTTGCAACTTTGCATCAAGACATGACTCACCAAAGACTGTTTTTCATATCAAAATGAAATGAAACAGTGTTTGCAGACCAGCTGATCTAATCTTCTTATCACAGCCCAGCAGTGTGACTTAAGCAGGGAAAAAATAAATGAAAAATGGTAGTCTCTCTACAGCATTTACATCTCACCAGGCAGAACATTTCCTAGGATTGTTGAGGAAAATGATTGCTTAGCTACTGTGTGATGCTTTCATTAGCTTCTTATTGCTGTAGTATAACATTGCTGTTTTATGGTGTGTTTGTAGCTTTTTCTTCCTTCTAGCTGCGGCTGGAGTGTGCGTGGAAAACCCATAGATTTCTGCACAGATACAGATCACAGAATCACAGAACGATGAAGGCTGGAAGAGACCTCTAGAGATCATCTAGCCCAACTCTCCTGCTCCAGCAGGGGACACCTAGAGCACGTGGCACAGGGTGGCATTCAGGCAGGTTTTGAAGATCTCCAGAGAAGGAGACTCCACAACCTCTCTGGGCAGCCTGTTCCAGGGCTCTGTCACCCTCACAGTCAAGAAGTTCTTCCTCACATGGAGATGGAACTTCCTGTGTTTCAACTTACACCCGTTACCCCTCATCCTGTCACCGGCCACCACAGAGAAGAGCCTGGCCCCATCTTCCCTGCATTCACCCCTCAGGTACTCGAACATGTTGATCAGATCTCCTCTTCAGTCTTCTCTTCTCTCCATCCTGACTAGGTCTCTCTGAATGGCAGCACACCCTTCGGGAGTGTCGGCCACTCCTTCCAGTTTGGTATTATCTGCAGACTTGCTCAGGGTGCACTCTGTGCCCTTGTCCAAGTCGTTGATGAACAAGTTGAACAGCACTGAGCCCAGTACTGACCCTTGTGGGACACCACTGGTCACAGGCCTCCAACCAGACTCAGCTCCATTTATCACCACCCTTTCAGCCAGTCCTCAATCCACTTCACTGTCCATTCATCCAGTCCACACTTCCTCAGCTTTCCTTTGAGGATGGTATGGGAGACGGTGTCAAAAGCCTTGCTGAAATCAAGGTAGACAACATCCTCTGCTCTACCACTGTCCATCCAGCCAGTGACCCATCGTGGAAGGCTATCATCAGGTTTGTCAAACATGACTTCCCCTTGGTGAATCCGTGCTGACTACTCCTGATCACCTTCTTTTCCTTGACATACCTAGAGATGGTCTCTAGGACGAGCTGCTCCATCTCCTTTCCAGGGACAGAGGTGAGGCTGACCAGCCTGTATTTTCCCGGGTCCTCTCTCTTGCCTTTTTTGAAGACTAGAGTGACGGTTTCTTCCAGTTCTTCGGCACCTCCCCCACCCTCCATGACCTCTCAAAGATGATGGAGAGTGGCTGAGCAATGACCCCTGCCAGTTCCCTCAGCATTCTTGGGTGCATCCCATCTGGGCCCATAGATTTATGGGTGTCCAGTTTGTCTAAATAATCCCTAACCTAATCCTCTTTGACTACCAGAAAGTCCTCCTCTCTCCTGGTTCTCTGTCTTGTCTCTGGACTCTGTAGTACATGGGGACTATCCGTAGCAGTAAAGACACAAGCAAAGAAGGCATTTAGTAACTCTGCCTTCTCTGCATCCTCCATCACCAAAGCACCCTCCCCATTCAGCAGCGGACTAACATTTTCCCTAGCCTTCCTCTTGCTGCTGATGTATTTATAGAAGCCCTTCCTGTTGCCTCTGACATCTCTCACTATGATTTGGCCTGTGATAAGCAGTTCAGGGGAGGATTAATTCAGTGTTTAATAAGGGACTGTTGGTTTTATGATTTTGTTTGTTTTGTTTTG